AGTATCAGTATTATTTTTAAGTTAACTTTCGAGCATTTACGTCAGAGATGATGATAAGATAAGATATAAATTAGCATATATAAGTACTCGAATATTTGAACTAAGTATGGATAATATTTTAAATGGCAACAGAAAATACTCAAGGTAAATCAATCTTCTATGTAATTATTCTATTAATTTTCCTTTTTTTCTAGAATTACGATTACTTTTTGCTTTATTTGATGTTGATAATAGTGGCACATTGACAAGAGATGAACTTAAACAATTACTTCAATCACCTGATCCAGATGGTCCAACAGTATCAGAAGAACAAGTCAACGATTATTTAAAACTTGCTGATACTGATAGTAAATAATATTATTTTATTATGAAATTTATTCTAACCTATATAACTTTAGATAGTGGCGATATATCTGTAGATGAATTTATAGCTTTTATAAACAATAATGTTCCACAAGGTGCTTATGGATTAAAAAGTATATTTCGAACAATTGGTAAGAAAGAATAAAACCTATATGACTCTATGTGAATATTCTATTAAAAATCTAGATACAAGTGGTGATGGTTTTGTTGAAAAAGATGAATTTGAACAAGTAAAAAGCAAAAATAAAAGTTTAAATCAAACTTTAGTTACTATTTTCGAGAAAAAATTTCAACAAGATGCATCTAGTAAAGTCACCTATGAACGTATGTCATTTTCTTATTATTTGAAAATATAAAATTTCTAAATCTTAAATAATTACTTTAGAATTTGTGGAAGGTGTTAATGAATATTACAACAACCTTAACAAACAATAAAATTTTATTTTAGAATATTTTTTATAAATAAATCTTTTTTCATACCTATTGTTTTTATGTGGTTAGTAGTTGAAGAAATTCTAGAATAATTTTTTATAATAAAATTGTACTTTGACAACCATCATGGTTAAAATGTATAGTTATAAACAGAATGCACATATATGATGTTATCTCTCAATTATTCTGTAGTTGATCGTGAATAATCTATCTACATGTAATAATTTTGCATTTTAAAAACTAAGTTATTTATATCATACGTCTATCTTTTTAATATTTACTCGAGATAAAGAACAATAGATATGTATATAAACATATTATTCTTTTTTTTTATATAACATTATCATTTATCAAAAATAAAATGGCTACACATGATATTCATGGTAAATTGTAATTATTCATAAAACTATTGTCATCTATGTTTTTTCAGAATTAAAATTACTCTTTTCTTTATTCGATGTTGATCATGATGGTCATATTTCACAAGATGAAATCAAGCGATTAGTTCAAGTTGTCTCTGGACATCCATGGACAGAAGAACAACTTGCTGCATTTATGCAACTTACTGACACTGATAGTAAATACTGATCTTTTTTTTGTTATTATTGAGTGTTAATAAAACTTTTACATATAGCTAGTGGTGATATTAATATGGAAGAATTTACTGTAATGATGAATCAATATGTTCCAACAAGTACTCTTGGATTACGTGATTTATTTAATACATTTGGTAAGAAAGACAAAAAAAAAAGATTTAACTAATAAATAAATAAATAATGAAAGATTTAAGTGGTGATGGTTATGTTGATAAACAAGAATTTGAAAAAGTAACGAAAGAAAAAGGCAACGAATTAAATCAAGATCAAATTGATATATTTAATAAAATATTTCAACAAGATGAAAATAGCAAAGTTACTTATGAACGTTCGTATTTTTATTTTTCTAATAAAAAAATAATTTATATTATTTTTAGAATTTATTGATGGTGCAACTGAAGTTTACAAAAGTTTAAAATTTAATTAAAATACTTGTCTAAACTCTATTATTCTATCAAATAAACATGATGAAATCTTATATATATGAATGTTAAGTTATTCTTATGTATGTCATTTTGATTAAAAATTCTTTTCGACAATAATCTATACACATACCCATAATCCATCAGATGCCAAGTACTTTCATAATAAAAAAGATTTATTATAACATTATTGGTACAACGATAGATATTGATTCTAGAGATAATGTTTTAGAAAAAAAAATCTTGAATTATAGTATAAAGTTTGTGTAGATATCAATGACATCATTCATATTTGATGGATATGTGATCTTCATTATTCTCTATTTACTAGTATGATATCAAGTGCGGATTATATTATTTGGAAGAGATGTGTATCTATCAATTTGATGGATTGATATCATCATTTTCTTGTCTCCTGATGAGACAAACAATCTAACGTCATCGATCGATTGGCGAGATTTCACAGTAGGGGAAGCATAGGAAAAAGGAAATAACTAACTAACCAACCAACATTTTCTTCGATTAATGTACTCAACCAACAAGGCATACAATTGTTATACTTGTGTATATTTTTCTCTTTTTCCTTTCCTCTTATGCATAAAATGATATTAGTCAATTGCACATCATCATATTTCAGTGAAAGTATTCACCTGCCGGAAACAAAACAAATACAAACGATCTTTGAGATCATTGAAAGAAGAAGAAGAAAAAAAGAAAAGAAAATTAGAGAGAACAAGAGAGAAAAGATACACACACACAAACGCATAAAAGAAGAAGAAGAATTTAATAGTTTGATGATGATGGATGATGATCATAGCAGGATAATGTTGCCGGTAAAAGTGAATGTTTTTGATCAAGAAAACCAGCAAATGGATTTGCATAAAAATGATTATGTGGATCAAATGATGAACTTGTTGGTGGATGTGTTGGTGGATTTCCATATGAAAAATAAGTTGATTGAGATGGTCCTGATCCATAATGTACACTATTTGCAAAATGTACATGCGATCCTGAATCAGTATCATCTGTAATCCTTGCATTTGTCGATAAGGCATTTGTATTTGTTGTTGATGATGTTGATGAAGAACAAGATGAATTATTTGTTGTAAAATGAGAACGATGAGGATAAGTGGAAGAATATGAGGCCATGAGTGCTGCAGCTGCATAGAGATCTGACGAATGATGTCCATTGACTGCTGCTGTTGTTGATGACGATGAAGCAGCATAATTACTAAGATCAAAATAATTTGTAGGTCCTACACCAGTTGATGTCGAAGGCGATGATGATGATGGATTAGGATTGTAAGAGCTAACGGCACTTGGATCCATAGCTGATGATGTTGATGATGTTGCTGTACCATTTGAATTTGTTGAAACTGTTGTATCCATTTGACCTAAAAGATTTGGATATGCTGATTGTTTTCCTAATTTTCGTCGAAATCCTACATAAAGAAAACAAAAATAAATATGTGAAAGAAAAAAAGAAAAATCTCGATTAATCACCTCTAGGTCTTCTTCGCATACAATTATCATCAAACATACAATCGGAATCAGGTGCTATCGTCCAATAATGTCCTTTTCCAGCTCGACCTATAAGAAAAATGTATGATATTTTAATAAAAAAAAATATTTTTTTCACTAAAATTTACCCATCGCTTTTGGTAATTTAATAAAACATTCATTAAGACTTAAATTATGTCGAACCGAATTTTTCCATCCCATATAAGTTGAACGAAAAAACGGAAAACTTTGCTGTAAAAATGCATATATTTCTGATAATGTCATTTTTTTTTGTTGGCGTACTATTAATAGCCATAACAATCAAAGCAATATACGAATCTAAAAATGAAACATATAAGATTTTATATTAGAATAAATAGAAAGTAAAAATCAAAAATATTTACATGGTGGTTTTTCTGCTCGACGATTTGATTTTCTTGGTGCATTATTAGATGGATTATTTGGTTCTTCTTTTTCTGGTGTTTTTAAATCCATATCTTCATCTTCATCTTCATCATCTTCTTCGGTACCTGTTGGATGACTTTCATTTGAATCTTCTTCACCTGACATTGTTAATTGAATATTTTTCATTGGTGATGAATGTTCAGATTTAATATCTAATTGAGAAGATAAGCCTGTTGATGATGGTATATAGTGCATATTGGATGAATGAGGATGATCAAGAGGATAGGATAATCGATTTGAATGATTATTATTATTCGACTTTGAAAGATCAGGTGAGGATGCTGCTGCTGCTGCGGCTGCTTTCCAATAAGATGAACATTGAGAATATGGATCATTATAAAGATTAGTTGGTTGCATTGAATAATAACTAGCTGATGATGGTGGTTGTGGTGGCGTTGATGAATAATTATAACCATTAGGTGGATTATATAAATGTGTATGATGATGATGAAAATGACCTGGATTTGTAGTATTCCCATTCATTGGACTATTGCTTGATGGATTTCGAGGATGATAGATCGATGTTGGTGCCGATGTAGTATGCAAATGATGATGTTCATTTGTTGTATTGATCGACAATGTAACTGGTTTATCTGTATCAATTTTGATATTCATTTGACAAGTGTCAATAGTTGAAGATGATTGCTCAATTATCACCATAAACTATTTCAAAAAAACTCTAGAAAAAAAAACTAATACAATTTATTCTTCTTCCATATACATAAACTATTTTCATAGTCATTTTGAATAATGTTCAATAAAATAGATTTCATATAGATACATTTATATAAAATTTATTTGTTTAGTATACTACTTAATTAATAAGAAAACATGTTAACATATCTTTTATTACTTTTTATCTCTTAATAGTCTATTCTAATAAACAAAATACCACCTACCTCACTATAAATCTTAACTATTGTCGTGTTGTTTACTCTACAACACAAGTTTTAATAAACATATAGAAAATATATACAAATTTGTTTTATCTTAGTCGTTTGTTGTATACAATATCAACAACAACAACTACTATTAGAAATAATAATAATAATGATGATAATAATAATGATGATGATGATGATGATGACGACAGAGAAAAGCGGAAGACAATATCTATCGATATGTATATTTTTGAAACAAAATGTTTATGCCATTGATGAGGAGACAGCAATAGCAGGAAGAAACTAAGCCTGACAGATTCGAGACATAAGTAATGAGTCGTTTACAAATTCGACAAACGGCAAACACATATACACTGGCAGGATAAGTGTGTTTAGATTTGTTCGACCTCTTCTTGTGTTTATTCGAAAAAAAAAAGAGGAAAAAGAAGAAGAAGAAAAGCAGATCTGTTCCCCCTTCCTCAATAGAGAAAGAATACATCTTCTTTTCCCTCTCTCTCTCTATCTCTTTCTTGATATACTTATTTCATGATTGGTTCTTTTACTGGAATCGCTACGATCCATTAACCAACTGTAAACGAGAGCGAGTAGAGAAAAAAAACGATCTATTTTTCTTTTTTTCTTCTTCTTCTAAGCAGAAAGAAAACGGAATATAAAACTGATGATAGTCAGAGGGTGAGAGCGGATGCAAGATGTGTTGATGAGACGACGATTGGCATGTTGTTTATAAGAAGCGGGCATGATTGGATGATGAAGAGATGTGGTCGGAGAAGAAGAAAAATGGTTGATGATAGGTCTTTTTTTCTTTTTCTGCTCTGTCTGTTTGGCAGATGCAGATGGACCCATCTTTCTAACATCTCTATCATTAACGCTTGATGGCAGCGACATGCATGCAAGCAAGCAGAGCAATGGATATGATCTCTCCTTTTTTCTTCTTATTCTTTTTCTTTCGCTATGCAGACAGAAGACATTTAAAAAACAATTAGGACATAGAAAAGTTTCTCTACTAGTTCTACATTGCCTTCTTGTATAAACACAGACATGAAGAGTGTCGAACTACATTGTGTTATCTTCTAATATGAATTGAATAGAAAGGGTAAATCATACGTGAAGAACAAAATAACGTATCATAATATATTAAACCCACTTTTACACTTTTTCACAAGAAAAAAATATCGTTAAAATTGAAACAATAACATACTGTATAAATCAAAGAGAGAAAAAAGAACTGGAAAATCTTATACTGCATTTCTTCAGAAGAAAATTAAAGTATTGTTATAAATGATTAGATATATTTTTTAAAGAAAATATATACTTACGAAAATTTGATTTTTACTTCATAGACTCAGCTGATATGATTCAATACTGACGTAGAATATCAACATAGAAAAATCTTTTCAACTCATATTTAACTTCTATAAATACAAAAATAATTTTATCCGCCTATACGCCCCTTCATTACATTCTAAATTTTTTATTGCTTAAAATATTTATATTTTGTCAAAAACAAGTGCATTCATGTGTCAGTAAAAAAGATACCAATAAAATTCAAACATTCCTTTAGGCGTATAACTATTTTTCCTTTTTATATACTTATATTGCATAGTGTTGATCAATTAGACTTTTGAAGCCCCTATATTTCATTGAATTCTATCTGATGTAATGTACTCAAGCTTTTACTGATCAATAGCACATGTGGCATAAAGAAGAGTGTCCCATTTCATTGAGATGCCGATGCCGTTATTTTAACGTAAACATTTTCTGTTACTCCGAAAAAAACATTTCATTTTCTATGTATCTGATCGCCTAGTGAATTGTATATTCAAAAGATGAATTTATCTGTTTTCTTTTTGCCTTTTTTCTTTTTTTTTCTTAAAAATAGAACAGACAAGATCAAATCCCATGATGATGTTCAGCAAAAGAGACATATTCTCTTTGATGCTAAGAATACAGATGGAATCTGTACTTCATTACTTAAGGCTAACGCAAATTATCGACAGACAATTACTGCTTGGACTGTAAAGGTTGACTGAAAAACAAGAAGGAAACATCTATTAGCCAACGGGCACTGAACATGTAACAAACATCGTTTTGTTTCATTGAATTCAGATGGTTATAATTAATAAAACTATTTTGTATTTTACTGTCAAAAAACTAAACTAAAATGATTCCGAACACAGCATGTTATCTTTATGTTTGCTTTGCTAAAAGCCATGACACAGCAGTAAATATGTTCAAGCAACATCATCTTGTTGTTTGAATAAATGCCATCGTTCACTTTTCTTTATATATATATATATATATATATATTTATGTACATGTATATGAGAAGAAGAAGAATAGACAAGACCAATCCCAGTCGGAGTTTTGCTTGTATTGTTCTGTTTCTTGTCTTGATGATTGATTATCATATCTCAGCAGACGTTAAAAAAACACTTTGCCAATCAAAAAGTCATCAATGAACATTTTGATGCTTAATAAATATATGATTGAAAAAATGAAAAAGAAAGTAAGTAAGAGAAAAGAATAAAGATTTTATTTGATTATTATTTTTATAAAAAAAAGAAAAGAAAATCTGGACGGATAGAGTACATTTGATAGAATCTTTCATAATGCATGCCAACGTCGAAATTCATCACGATAAACAGTAATTAAATTATTATCACTTCCACCAATAACTGTTAAACCATAATCATTTGCAGCCATCTTAATATAAACAATTGAATATATATATATTTCAAATTCTTTATTTTATTAACTTACACAAAGATGTTGATCATGTGTATCAGCTACAATTCGAGCGAGATTTATTGTAGGAGTTGATAATTGATCAATAGCTAAAGTTTTTGTTGTTGCTGTACATGTTTGAAGAATACCTTGACTATGATGTAAAGCTGTTATTTGACATCCATGTTCAGTTCGAATTTTCTAAAAATTCAATTAGATTATTTTGCCTATATAAAAATATCAAAAATTTTTACTTCAATAAATTCACAATGATCTTTTTTCCAACTAAATACATGTACAAATCCTTCATTCGTACCCAGAAATAAAAGTGAATCTTTGTAATACGATGAAACACGTTCACCAAGATTTAACTAAAAGAATATTCTTATTGAAAATAATATTATTAACTTTTATTTTTATACTTGAACATTCTCAATTTTTTTCCATGTTCTTCGATCATATATACATAATGTACTTGGTTTATGCATAACTAGAACATAATCATCTTGTAATTCCAATGCATGAATATAACCTCGCGGTGTTACACGTTCAATATGTACACGAGAATTATTATTATCTGTATTATTTATTCGTGTATCGTAAACATGTATATGACCATTATAGATACCAGCATAAAGTAAGGAATCTCGAAGTCGATGTGTCATTGCAAATGTTGCTTGTAACCTTTAGTAAGTTTTTTTTAATAGTAAAGATGATTTCTTTGAAATAAAATTTATACTTTATTCGTGATATTTCACACATGTCTTCATTTAAATCCCAAAGACGAATTTCAGAATTTGATGATGTACTTGATATAATGTTTGCTTCATGATCAAGTGACCAAATCCAACGCTAAAACAAAACGAAATACCCTCAAGATAAATTCAGTTTTTTTAATCTCTATTACTTGTTGTTGATCATGAGCACGTTTAGATACATATGGTGAATCATATATATTCGTTACTTTGGTTTCTTCTGGTCGAACTAATTGTCTTAAATCTAGACAACATATTGATGAATCACGACTACCAGTTATACATGTATAACCATCCTAAATGAAATTAAAATTTAATTAAAAAATTAAAAAATAATTTTCAATTCTATATACTTCAAGAAGAAGTGTATTTATTATTGGACCAATATGAACACCTGATATTGATAGAATATTTTGATGTTGTTCAGCACATTGTTGCCATTCATGTCCCATACGTTCAAGTTTATCACACACATTAAGCCATGTACGATTTGTAGTTGCTACTGCTCGATAAGGTGCTCGAACACGTTGTTCATATCGATATTTCCAATAGGATTGAGATGAAACAATAAATCTGCGAAGTGGTTTACAAACAAGACTAAGTTTTTCAGCTATAAATTCTGCTGACATATAACCAAATAAATTCAACCTATTTAAAAACAACGAAGTTACAAAAGAATTTAAAAAAAAAGAATTATTTACCAGATCTCAGGTGGAAGAAGTTCAAATAGACCACATTGACATATTCCATTATTACAATCATTTGAAGAGAATTCATTCTCATTAGTTTCGTTATCAGACATTTTAATTTATATCTGAAAAAAAGAATTTTAAATATTTAGTTATGTCATTAAATGAGATAAGAATTTCAACTATCTAAAATTTTTCTAATGAAAAATTAATATTTATAAAAAAAAAACATACTTTGCTCGCAACATTATTCATCGGTTACTAATATATTATGCGACAGTAAACATCAAACAAAAGAACCGAAAAAAAAAATAAACTATTCGTGTTTGGTATGCACGTGTATTTCTTGGGGTTTATGTTTATATGCTGAAATAAAACAATCAAAAATGAATGCAACAAATGATAAAAATGGAACACGATAGAACGCTGGTATATATTTGAAGTTCACTATTTGAATTGGTATATAAATGAGAGTATCAGCAATATATAACGGAAGAAAATTTGTTTGAGTATCTTTTACTAATTCGCGATATGATGTTCGACCCTCAAGAATTGAAGTTCCTTTAAAAATTAAATATTTTAAAAATAAAAATAAGATTATTTATTTTATTCTTATTACCAACAATATATGTTAGTGTAAATATAGGTGCTGCCATAGTTTGATCGAGAAGAACCTTTTTAAAAACATTACGCCATGATGGATGAACAATCAAACGATCAAGAAATGGAAACCAAATATGTGCTTCAGCACCCATGACTGCTCCAGTCGCCAAAGCTGCGACTTGAATGTGACAATTAAATAAATAGATTTTTAACTCAAACTTCAAATTTTATACATACCAAGACGTTTATCGTCTAACGAGTTTTTCTTTTCGTAGAAATTTTGTACACAGAAATCACTAGTGGCAAGACAGCCAGATGCTGATGTTACATTAATAAGTAAAAGACGATGACGACGTAGAAAAGATCTAATCATTCAACGAAGCAAAACTAAAACAATGAATAAAATTTTTTTATAATCCAGTTATATACATGACTGGGTAAAATTCATCCAACAGGAGATTTATATTTAGAAAATGACTTTAGGTAAAATTTGGATTTAACTAAAGATTTTAATTCGTTGAAAATAGTCATCGAAATTTTTGATAGTTTGTCCTTTTTCTTTTTCTTTTTTATAAATTATGAAATGTCAATTTTTTCAGTGCTCGATATCTGTACTTACTCCCTTCATTTTATGTGATAGTATTAGATGATTTATTAAAATTATCTGTTACAGATTATATGAATCTATAAGGAAAATTTGATCGAATTATGTTTACTCAATTTTTTTTTAATTGAATATAATAGAAACACAATAAATCGTGTACTATTAATATTACGTATTTTAATTTTTATATAGAATAATGAAAAAAAAACATGAAGTTGTTAGGTGTATATCAGGTAGAGCACGTTATAAGTGATACATTGTTGTCATTAAATTTCAAAACAAAGCCATGAATAATTATATTAAGCAAAAAAAAAAAATAGAAAAAGTTCGATGTAAAAATATTATCATGACTAATATTAATGTATTCATTTGGCTGTTGCTGCTGCTCCTGCTCCACCTGACGCATTATTATTGCCACCATCACCACCACCACCGCCCTTTTTTTCTGCAGCTAATTGTTGTTTCTCACGCATTCTAAAAATATAAAATGTTAAATGTTATTTATACGTATATATTTATCAACTAACTTTGCTGCATCACGCGATTGACGTTCTTGTAATGATAAACCTTTATTACCTTCCATTTCAGCAGCTGATAAACCTTTCTTTGCATTTTTTGCGTTTTTTTCTCGTGCGAGATCACTGAAAAAAAATTAATTAAGAGAATTTTAAGATTTATTGTGTTAATTACCGTTGATTACCACGCGTCATGACCGAACGCTTTCCGTTTTAAAAAAACAAAATCTAAAACGTAAAAAGGCAATAAAATCTAGTCCCCTGTCTCCCCTACCTTCCTTACACAATTACGATGTAATAATAACTCGCTGATATATAGATATTCGCATATACATATTTTTTTTTTGTCTTCCTTTCTACTTTCGTATGCGTCAATACGCATAAATGTGTAGGTGGATAACGAAAATGTATGAATAAGAAGGAAAAAAAAAGACGATAATTGTTCATCCGAATTTTTTTTTATTGGCTCTTTTTTTGCTTGTTTTTTTTTTTTTTGTTTATACCAATCATGATCAAAAAGAGAAAAAGAAAGAGAACAAGAACAACAAAAAAGAAAACAACATCAATATAACAAGAACAAATTTCCAAACACTCCTTTTTTTTCATGTTACTGTCTTCTAAAAAAAACAAGAATAAAGACATTTCTTAATCTTCAATAGATACAGGCAGCAAATACAAAACAACAACTCATCATGTGCACAAAAGCACGTCTAAAGACAGAGATAGATAGATAGATAGATAGATATAGAGTGAGAGAGAGAGAGAAAGTTAAAAAGGATCTGATGGTTTGTGAAAGACACATGAAAAGAGACACATAAAGAGGAAAAAAAAAGAACAGTGGACACATGGACAAAGACATATACGTATATAAATACGACAAGAGTGGTTTTTTGGTTTGAGGGACATTCTAAAATGAGTTATATCAGCAGTATTAGAAGGAAATAATCAACCACCGGAGTTGTCGATTGTGTTTGTTTTCTTTTATGTTTCGAAAGAAAGAAGAAAGAGCTACATATCTACTCGAATATGCAAAGAAAGACAGAATGATTTGCGTTTATAGTTTTTTTTCGTTTTATCATCTTACACGCATTGAAAACATTACATTCTAAAGAAATAAAGACAAAGACAAAATAGACAAACAAGGAAAAATTAGTCAGACAAAGAAAAGGTTCCATAAGAAAATATGCGCGACACGGCAAGCACATGATACAACGAGCAAAAACTCTCCAGTGCGTATCAATGTTGTTCTGTTTCACAAACAACAAGTGTCAAATGGCTTATATAATAGTTAAGGTTGTTTTTTAAGATATACATTTACACAGATAGAGTGGAATCATCAACTTCAAGGAAAATAGAAATCGAGATCAATTCACGCACACACACATAAACAAAGAAAAAAAAAATGAAACAAACTGAACCGGAGTATACATACATTTGTATATATATATAGCTATATACGCATGGTGATGTTCAACTTAACTGGAAGATGAGTATATAAGAGTAAAGCGCAAAAAAATAGATATCAGCTGCTTGAGAAAAAAACAAAAAAAAAGAGAGAAAAAAACTGTCTAAGGGGATGTGTAAAAAGACTTATGTGCGCGCAATGCACGAGAAAAAAAAGGCAAATAAATAGACTGAGATATACAAAGTTTGAGGAAGTAAGAGAAAGCACGGAGGATATTTTCTTCTTCTATTTTTTGTTTTTTTTTTGTTTTAAGCAACACTTAAACGTAACAACTCGATGGCATCAAAAATATACAATATGAAGTCTAAAGTTGTATCATCACGTGATAGACGTCGATTTTGATTTTGTTTCAACAACTGTTCTGTAAATTCTAAATAGAAATAATAAAAAAAAAAGAAATTTTTTATTTTGTTATAGAACTAATATTTTATTTACCTTTCAATGGTTTTTCACGCATCAAACTTTCAGCTTTATTCCAATAAGACGTTGAATAATATGAATTTAACATAAATTTAGAAAAATCATACATATAACGATGTTGTTCAGTTGAATTATTTCCACTTGTTGTACTTAAATCTGATGAACTTGTTTGTGATGTTGTTGATAGTGGTGATATTGGATTATTATCATTTATTGGTGTTGATTGTTGCTGATTATTTGAATTTGTGGTTCTTGTTAATGATGCAGCTGATGATGGATTTTTCAATTGATTAAAATATTCTGTTACTTGAGTAGCATGTCGATCAATTGTTGGCATATTTGAATTAAATTGTAAATAATAAATTAATGATTGAAGCCAGTAACTGAAAAAAAGAAAATTTTTCATTTCTTATAAACTAATATATATTTTACTTACTTAATTAAAAGAAATTTTTGTTGAAGACTGTATAAATCTGTTAATTGTGTTGGATTTGATAAATGAAACATTTTTTTATGATTTTGTGCAAGTTGTCTAAATAATAATAATAATAATTGTATTCAAATAAAGTCATTCTATCTCATTTCTTACTGTAACATAGTTAATGTCGTTTGTAATAATGAACTACGTTGATCTAATTTTGTTTCATCACTAGCACATTGAATAAAATAACAAACTGATTCAAGATATAAACCTAAAGATTCTCGAGCTTCTTTAAATGATGTTCGTTTTCCATTATCAGCTTGTTTCTTTTTCTTTCGTGCTAAAGAAGCTAGATCTGCTTTAGACATATTTCTAAAAATAAAAATAAATTTCATTACAAACAAACAAACTAAAAACAAGAATATTTACTTTAATTTTGAATAATTGCTCTTGGTTGATGAAAGCATTGATCGTGTATTTGTTGTTGTTAAACTATCAGATATATTAATACCATT